AGGAAACTTAAATATTAGTTAAAAATCGTGGGTACTTAAAAAAATCAGATTTAATTTAATAAGAGAATTATTACCAAAAAAGTGAAATTTTTATAGAAAAATTATTGCAGAATCGAATAAGAAGAAAAATTTAACAAAATTGTTTTTTTTCATAACAGCGCCATCTATTACAAATATGAAAAAATGTTTTAAACAAAATCTTCCTATTTTTAGTCGAATGATCCGAATCTGCAATAAAAAATAGGGTGTTCCATTGGAAATTTTAAAGTTACCCCCTGTTCCCCCTATAAGGAGGAGAGTATGAGGACCAATTTTAGTACACTCAGAGAATTATCATGTCATGAAAAGCATATGAAATGATATTAATTTAAATAATCGGGTAAATTTGATTCAAATAGAAAAAAATGTAGTTTTATATTCATTTACCAACAGTTTTACAATGTTTTTAAACACTTTTAAAGTGTACTCTCTTTAAAATATATATACAAAAAGAAATCTATTTATTTCATTGCCTATCTCAACGTTATTTTAATAATATATGTATTATACAATTGTTATACACCTTTTAATTTAATGAGAAACACCAATGACGCCAAAACATATTTGAATCCCTTTGAATTATTATCGTTTTGAATGATTCTACAACATTTTTTCTCTCAGTGTACTGATTGATTTCCCCCCTCGAATCATTTAATTTTTATTTTAAAATTTTTTTCGTAAAATGCATACTAACTGAGATATTTCCAAGTTTTAAATTAAATGACTCACTGTATATTACCAGAAATCTGCAACATGTTGCTATTTAATGAGTGTGTGAAGTATCCGAAAAAAGTTGCCATCACTATTTAAACTGAAATTAGGGGATACATAGAAGTGGGTTAAAGTTACGAAATACATTAGTAATTGTTGTAGTAGTACTAATAATTATATTGTGCCAATTTTTTTAAATAATTTGATGATTTTAGAATGGTGTGTTATTTTTGTGTTCATTTGTGTTCATTTATAAGTATAAGGAATCCGAATAACAATAATAACAGTTTTCTGGTAATATATTATAAACACTCTGGACAGTTGTTACGAACACGTTACGAATTAGTATAAAGTATACTTTATAAGTTGAAACATAAGTTGCAGATGCTGAATTTGTTTAATATTGACAAAATAATCTGTAACCTTTGAAATTAACAAAATGCTTACAAAATTGCATACTACCTTTACAAAACTTTCGGTAAAATATTTTTTCTTTATTTTTTATAAAAAACTATGTTAAAATTTAATGTTAAAAAAAATTAACAAACAACAAACTCATGTTAACAAATTTTCTTAAAAAAAAGGTACATGCTTAGTAATATAGACAGTAATAATATTATAAGGATAATATTTTTACTTGATCATTGATCAAATTTTGATAAATTTCATGGAATTTGCTAACAAAAAATATTGTTTGCTGTGTCAAATATTAGACCCTGAGGTATTACAAATTATGTTCTGGTTTTACAAATAAAGTAAGTAACTAGTGCTTAAGTTTTAAGTAAGGTCTCCCAAAGCAATAAGTACTTAATTTAAAAATTCACTTTTTTCTGTGTTTAAAAGTTTATTTTACACCTCAAATGTAAAATGTAAACACGTTTTTGATTTTACATGTATTATAATTTTTTAACATTGGCTTTCTTCAAAACTCACTGTTTATTAAAAAAAATTTAAGGATGTTTTTTATATTTTCAATTATTTTAGGTTTTACCAATCATTTTATCTAATTTTTCATATTTTAGTATAAATTCGTAATGTTCTGGTTATTTATAATATAATTAAATATTATATTGTATAATTATTCATAGTTTCTTATTTTATTACATAATTTGCTAAATCTTGTATTCACCAGTTTAAAAAAAATCACAATGCCTAATTTCTATTGTTTAAATTACACAATTATTAAATATTTTTTGTATTTCCAAATTTTTTGAAGACTCATTTACAAACTTAATTGCTATTAAAACATCGAACCATAAACCAATTAAAATCCAATTAATTTCGACTTAAAGAATAAATTCTTTGGCAAAATCTCAATCGCAAAACTAAAATCCTATTCATCCATCCATTAGCAAGGCAACAAATAATAAATTAATTGTATTTTAATCAGCCCCGAGCTAGAAAGCTGATGTTACCGTCTCTAATAGTGGGACTCTTAATGAATGCCAAGAATTCAAGCAAAAGCCTCGAGCGTCGCTTCACTTAAACAGACCACAATGAAAATTTGAAACCCACAAAAAGTGATTTGGTTCCACACGATTTACCTCATAAGTTTACAGGTGTCGAAAAAATTCATTTTCCAACCTCTCTAAAAGTACCAGGTTTTTATATCTTCCATACAATTGTCAGGCACTTTACAAATTTTTGTTAGGGCCATACCTTTTTAAATGTCTATAAACGTCTCAGAACTGTTTAAATAAACCACAATTGACTCAAACTGTATTAGAACTGTCTAAAAGGACCAAAAAGTGTCTCAATTTTTTAAAATAGTATATTATGTATCATTTTATACACAAATTTAATTTAGGCACGAGCGAGCTTGCGAGCGAGTTCTTAAATTAATGAGTGTATAGAAAAGTTTATAAACGAGGTGCATACTATACTTTTTCTACGACAAATGTTATAAAAAAATATAAATATATTTGAACAAAACATTACTGAAATGACATTGGGCTTCAGAAGAATTTTTAGATTGTGAAATGAAAATTAAAGAAGCATTATTGTCCTATATAATTTTGATATACCTAGCATGACTATTAAATATTTCATGTAGACTTTTGGTATTATTACTGTACCTATTCTATTATAAAGTTAATTTTTGATAGACTGATCACTTTCTAGCCTACGGCATTTCAATTACTGAAAAAACTCTACCGAATTTAACCACGGCTCACAACCGAATCATTTTTCCACTGGAAAAGAATTTTTGAAAGTGATATACACATTAATCATGTTTAACATATTTACGTGCATATTTGTTAGATGACAAACACAATTATAAGAAGTGTTAACGCGTTCAATAGGCATTTATTTAAATAAGCTAAAATATTATTAAACGCTAAAATTGGTGAAAGTTGTTTTTAACATAACCACTTAAGTTCCTATTGAATATACATATACATGTTTTAACGCTTAATCGCACAATATATTAAATACACATTTTTTACCCCTTTACCAGATTTGTGATCTACAAGTTCAAAAGGACCTTTCCGACATCTTAATAGACGTAAAAATATCGATGAGCTATAAGACTAAAGAAGCATCGGGTATTTTTTCTAAGTAATCATGGTGAATTATTGTGTTTTTAATTGTAAATAAAATTCAAGAACTAAATCGTTGCATTTTCATGTTTTGCCAAAGGATCCAAATAGCTTTACCTAATATAGTTTATATTTAACTTTGGACATTTTTAAGAAATCTAACAAAAAATAATAGTTGTTGAAACTTAACCTTAAAATCAAATATTTTTACATTTAAAAATATATAAAATATATGGACGAATTCATGGCAACATAATTTTATATATAGGTAATAAATAATATAATATCCGTTTTTGGTTTTTTACCGTTGAGTGGAGACTTTCTCAATCGGTGACGCTACTAGCGATGCTTCTTTAGCAATCAAATAATTGAGGTGTTGTATGTACAGTTTATGACACAGTTATACCATGAAAATTTTAAAATTGACGTTAAATAATTGATTCGGTGAGAATAAGAACAGTACAAGTCCAAAAACTTAATTTTGACAGGTCATATTTTGAAATCAATTGTTCAAAATACATTTTTGTGAGAAGATATAAATCATTTTTTCTACTCCCACCTTTAAATCGCCCTTTATCGTACATGTCCATGACACTAAGTGACCTTTTAAATACACATTGATAAGTTGTGGCTTTGTGGCGCTTTAGTCACGGGCAGTTAGCAACAGGTTTTTAGTCACGGGCTGAAGTTAGTTTTAAGTTAGTTGACAGTTCTCAAATGTCATACAATCGTTAAAATAAAGTGCATTTCTTGTAAAATAATAATAAATGTGAAAATTATTTTACTATCTCAATATACAAATACAAAAGTATTAAATAGTTTCTCAACGCCAATATTTGAAAAGTTTATATGAACCCATTTTTCGTTTTAATTTCGCGGGCAGTAAATATAACTTAAATTCGGGTACGGACTCCACTGTAAAGTCCTCATAAAACATTTTCTTTACTTTCACTGTGAAAAACTGACAATTTTTAAGAAATACATTTCGATTTATAACCTTTATAATCTGTGTTTCAGATTCCCCTATTGTTTCATAGATGGCACTCTATAAAAATTTTTGATTTAAATCATTTTAAGATAATAATAAGTATTTGTCGTTTATAAACTTTTCTATACACTTATTAATTTAAGCTAAATTAAATTCGTGTATAAAATTGCGTTTATCAAACTTACATACATAATATACTATTAAAGAATATGAATATTATATTTTATAAAATAGTTTAAATACTCTCACAAAAATAAATTTTGAACTTTAAAATTGATTTTAAGAAGGGACGTTAAAATTAAATTTTTGGACTTGTACTGTTCTTATTCTCACAGATTCAATTATTGTTGATTGTATCATTTACTAAGGCAAATTTACACAAAATGTCCAGAATTTTTTTAGTTTAAATGGTGAAGAAACACCAGCATACTTAAATAACTGCATTGTAAAGTTTTTGTTTTTTAAACTGGTTCCATTTTATTTATTTTTATAGAATTATGAAGGAAATTTAAAAATCATACAGGTGTGCCATCTATAATTTGTTATGCTATTTACTTTAACATTGAAACAGTAAACTATAATCAGAAATATTTTAAGTCAAGAATCTTACTTAACTTACGTAACTGAGCTTATGCAACCAAGTAAACATCCTTTATTCTTATAATCGAGCTAGAATTAAAAATACAATTCAAAATATAAAAGGAAACTCCCATGTATTAAAATCGATTTATTAAATAAAATTACATTAAAAATATTAAATTAAACTACGACAAGTAATAGTACAACCTTTTGCTAGGATCTTTAACAAAATTGACCTCTTTCTTGGTATCATTCTTTTTATTTTCTTCGAATTTAATCTCAACTTCATCCTCGTAATAATCGAAATTTTCTTCATTATCGCCCTGGTCGTCATCGACATTAATATCTTCAACATTTATTGATTTCAGTTGGTTCACCATTTTCGGTAAAGAAGAGTCAGTATAATCCAGCGTTTTTTGAGGTTTTTCTGTTGGCATTATTTTTTTGTTACGCGTTTTTACTTTATTTTTGCTTTGGTTTGAAATTTCTTCATTTAATTTTGATGGAGTATCCTCCAATCTTCTGTAGCTGCCGCCATGTTTGTTAGTTGTGTCAAACTTTTTGAAGACTTCGACATTTGAAAGTTTATGATTTTTAGGTAGTTTTAGGCTTTCTTCATTTTTGAAATCTTCGACACTTGATGGTTTATGATTTTTAGGTAGTCTTAAAGTATCTTCGTTTGTTAATTTGTGATTTTTGTGCAGTCTTAAAGTATCTTCATTTGATAATTTGTGATTTTTGGGTAGTCTTAAAGTTTCTTCAATTATTTCCTCATTTTTCAACTCTTCGTCGTTGTTCTTCAAGTCTTCATCATCGTTTCTTTCTTCCAGTATATCATCGGGTACATATATTGGTTGGAAATTACCATCGTTGATCATGGACGATCTTCTTTTAACTACTTTAGTGGTGTCATCTACATCTTCATCCAGAAATTTTACTGTTGTAGTACGCAGACGTATTCTAGTTGGCCTTCTTCTGTAATTCCTCTTCGCTTTGCTATCGTGTTGGACTGTTTCTGCTGTGGTTGAGCTAAAATTAAAATATTTTAGTCAAATAAAGTTTTCTTTGGTTAATAAAACTTACCTGTATATTCTTTCAGTGGTTGTTGTCGTCGAAGACTTTCTGGGAGCCTTGGTGGTGGGTCGTTTTCTATTCCTAACTCTTATTTTAAATGTGCTCTTCTCCACTGGAGCTGGGGTGGTGGATTTTTTAACTTCTTCGGTCGATTTTTCTACGTCTTCCATTCTTTCAGTAATCTTTTCGAGTGGTGGTGCTTTACTTTCTTCATTGTCGTCTTCATCTTCATCTTCGGTGTTATAAGGAGTAGTAGGACGCTCTATGGTTTTGTACTTTGAGTAATCAATCGAGGTTCTGGGTACGTAGTTTTTTACTTTGGGTATAAAATCCCCTACGTCGAATATTTGGAAGTTTGGGTCGATTTGGGACAAACCTTGTCCACCTGGGGAGTTTTGTATGGGACCCAACTCCTCATCTTCTTCATCCTCTTCATCGTCTGCTTCTTGAACGATGGGTTCAGGTTCCTTCTTTTTGTTGTGTTTTGCTTTCTTCGTTGTGTCTTCCTCATTTTCAATGGCTTTGTACTTACTATCACTGTGTAGCTTGGAGAGTAAGTTCAAGAACTGTGGTGCTTCATTTGAAGAGCTAACCTTTATAGGTTTCAAGGTTGTGGTTGGTTTTTCTGTGGTTGTGGTTTCCTCGATCATTTTGTAGTTTGAGTTTGATTTTAACTTTTTAACGTAGTCTATAAAGCTCTCACCAGGTTTTGGACTTGTTACCACCAACGGTTTTGGTGTCGTTTTATGTTTTGGTTTGGATTTTTTCGTTGTTACTTCTTCCACGTATTCTTCTTCTTCTTCGTCCTCTTCATCATCATTTGTTTTTGTGTCATGATATACAATTTTCCCCAATTTTTCATCATAGTGGTAATTTTTTGGTCTATGTGGAACATAGTCGTCGTCATCGTCATTGTCACTAGGTACTTTGTCTAATGTTTCTTCTTGTCTACCTCTATTCCTCGAATATTCCGAATAGGCAGGCTTATTAGCCTCTCTTCTATATCTTCTGTGATAATAATCGTTTCTCCTATTCTTATTCTTATTCTTACTTGTCAATCTAAAATCTGAGTACAAAATCGGAACCTGTTGCTTTGGCGGTCTCATACCGGGCACAATATATTTGTTAAGGTGTTCATCGTCAATATCTTTGGGTATAATTGTTCTATAATTCAAATCTTCCGGAGGAATAAGACCTTCAACCGATTGGGTGGCGTCTTCTACAAATGATTGTGTAGGGTCATCCTTCAATGTTTCTTCCTCTGATGGAGAAGGGGTTGTAGTGGTTGTCCTACGTCTTCTATATTTAATTTGAGGTTTTAATAAGTTTTCAGCGATATTTTCCTTATTTTCTGCCTCTTCAATGCTTTGGTCTTTATGGTTGTTATGACTACCATACTTAATACGTTTTCTGAGGTTTACCCTAGGTTTACTGGTAGTGGGTGTTGTTGTATAATCTTCAGTGGTGGTTTTGATTTTAAGCTTTTTTGATAGAATTTTAATCTTCTTGGGCTCAATTTTGTACCTGTTCACATTCAATTTAACCGCTATAGGTTCAGAGGTATCAACATTTAAATCTCTCCGTGAGTTATTCTTGATGTTATTAATGACATCAGCGAACACATTTAATTGCTCGTTAGGTTTTATATCGTCCTTATAAAAAACCTCACTGACAACCATATATTTAGGAAGCACTGTGCTTGTGGGTACATACGTATCTTCATAGTAAGGATGATATGTAGCTGTGGTTTTCGTTGGTTGAATTTTATGGTGTCTATAGTCGTTGTATCGGTTGTAATGCGGTCGATTTTTTCTATATCTGCGTCTAAGGATTAAGGCTTGACTTTCAGGTGTTTCTTCATCGGTGGTAACGGTTGGCTCTTCTAGAAGTCTTGCTTGGCGATTTTCGGCATTGCCTATAATGTCTGTTAGTATGTTAAGGTTTGTTTTTTCAGTCTTTGGAGGTAATTCCTCAGCTATGTCATCCGATATAGGTTCTACGTTTTTTTCTTCGAAGAAAGGGCTATCCAGTGGGTTTTTGCCGAAATACATCTCTTTAAAACAGTCTATTTGGTCGCCTAGGTTGCCATTCTTCGATACCTCTTGTGGTATTGTTACCGTAGTGTTACCAACAGTCTTATTGTACTCTTTAATGTCTTCTATGGGGAGTGTTTCGGAGCATTTGTATTTTTTTATCGCTTGGTTGTAGAACGCCATTTCGTCCTGAGTTTTCGGTGGTATACTGGCGAGGTTTTCTGAGTACCTTAAAGGAGAGTTTTTGTTTATATTTTCGCTGTCGTAGTATGGGTACTTGATTTCCCTCTTTCTTCTATCCATCTTGTGGGTTGTATTGTGCAGTGAAACATTGTGTATGCTGGTTTGGGTCTCTTCGATCTCAGCATCTTTTGGCGCGTTCTCTATCTTATGTTTGGCGAAGCTTTCCCCGTTTTCCGATTGTTTTTCTTCGTCAGCATGGTCGTAGGCTTCATCTTCGGTACCTTTTTCGGTGTATATGGTGTGAATTCTGGTCTCCTTTATGACTTTTTTCAAACGGGGATTTTCGTCTTGTGGTAGAAAAGCATACGAATCGCTCCTGCGGACTTTTGTGTACTGTTTTGTGGGCACAAAGGGTTTTTCTTCGTCATCATTCTCGTACGTTTCTTCAGTGTTTGAAGATTCGTTCTCGCTATCATCTAGACTAAACTCTGGGTCGTTATTTCGCTTACGTTGCCTTAGGTTTACATTCGTTATTCTGCCTTTTACTTCGACTAAATTGGGTTTGGAATTCTCTAGAAAGTCGATGTCTCTGAAATCGTAATTCTTGTGTTTATTTGGTTTGAATTTATTTTTTACTCTGCTAAAATATTCTGGCGGGGCCACGGGCATCCAGTCTGTATCGCTGAATGCATTTGGTGTTTTCATCCTATGTACAGGTTTCCTATTATTTTTATTATTATTGTATACATTGTTTTGGTATCGTTTTGATACTAATTTAAATTTAGGAAAGTAGTTATCATCCTCTACATCATCCCATGATGTTGGTACTCTAATAGAAGCAACTATACTTATAGCAGTTGCCAAAATTATAAACTTCATTTCTGTAAGTGCTTATCATACATAATTATATATAAACGTCTTGTTTCTTGTATTGTTCTGTTACACATATCTCCTGACCTGAAAAAATATTTTTTTTAGTAATTTGGAAAATTGACGGTGTTTATGAAGAACGTAAAAGTAAAAGCATATGGTTGCACACGAAATAGTCGTAGATGAAAGTATTGAATTCTTTATTCAAATCTACATTCCTAGAAATATGTGACCCTGATTTATCAATATGTTTTGTTATTTAATAATATTTGCTAAATTAGGCCTTTATAACGATTTAGCTCAATAATTTCTAGTGCTACTTTCTTTGTCTGCAAATATTGTTCAAAATATGAACATATGTTATTTGTAGAGGCATATAAATAATTGTAATTAATATCTTCATAAAATCTACCAATTAAAAACTGATTTTTAATGGTTTATCTTTTTATGGCAGTGAAAGTAACCGCAAAATTAATAAAGCAAACAATTTTATTATCCAATATTCAAAATAAGTTATTATTAACGCTTCGAAGATTTTTTCGGATCAATTGGTGGCTTTGCGGTTTTGCTAATTATAAGCTTTCTTTATTTTACTTTTTATATTATACTAACAAATTAAAAGACAATTTTGTTCTTATGTAAAGCACATTTTCGAGATATAAATTATTGCTTTCTTGCCGCGTTAATAATATATAATATCCTAACTAACTTGTTTATATGTATTATTAGGTAATTTTATATATCGTTACACACGATTTGAATAACATTTATGTAGATATAAATTTTTTATATTTTACATAGAATGAAATTTAAAACTATAAAACTGGATTTGTTTTTTTGGTAATTAAGGAAACTGAAAGTTGTCGTGAAAGTCGCTTTATAAGGCCTTATACTTAAAGTTGTATAAAAATCTTTGTTTTAACACATACCTCACATATTTCAAAAAAATCCAGTCAACACTCAATTCGAACTGTCATAACCCATAAACAAAAACAACTGCCATATGTCACTTTGCATACGATAGAAAAAAAACAACTGAAAATCTAGCACTAGTAGTGGGTATCTTTAACTCGGTGTAGTACTAAAACAACTGAAGAACGGTTCCACAGCCAAGCACGTTTATGTAGGTTCACGTTCCAATTGACAGCTGAACAACGCCATGGCTTGACTCGATCGGCGTAGCTGTACTTTTAATTTGATACACTGGTTGACATGGAACAAGTTTCAAAACCGGATAAATCCATCATTTTTTTTCGATTTGGATATATTTTTTTAACACAACATTTTTTACCACAACATTAAAACGACCTTAAAAAAAAGAATAAATCCAATATTTAAAAATGCCTCTTTCTTAACATTGAACTACTTTGCTTAGGTACTTTTTTTATGGTTTGCGGTTTTACTAAAATAAAGAACATAAGAATTTCGTTGACAGTTAAAATCTTTTAGCATGTTATAAAACCATTAAAAGCGTATTTTAATGTCAAGCTCTTTAAATTAGGTTTGAAATTTAAAATTCGCGCCAAAATGTAAAAAAGTAGACAGTTATCGGACACTTCATTAGATGACGTTGTTTACAATTATAAACATCTCAGTCGGTAATAATATAGAACTACTTAATTTTGGGTCCAATATGGGACAAACAAGTTCGCACGTTACTGGTGGTAAGATTTTTGTTTTTTTGTCCAGAGCAGGGCTGTGTTTAAATTACAATAAAAAATATTTCTAAAAAGTGTACAGATCAGTGTGTGGTATAAATGTGTTCCTCATGGTTTAAACATTGTCACTTTAATGCGTTTTAATTTTAATTCTAAAAACAAACAGTAAAATGACCAGTGCCCAATTACTGGTTGGTAAAAAATGTAAATTTCTATTATTAGACATATGTCCAATATCATACTCTATTTGTATCCCGGACATTTACCAGCCAATTCTTATGTAAAATTGTCCCCTGAATCCGAAAAGACCGTCAAAAACTATAAAAGTTAAGCAGTTTTTGAGATATAGTCAATTCCATATTATATGTAAAATTGATTATATTTCAAAAACTATTCTACTTTTATAACTTTTGACGACATTTTCGGATTCAGCGAATAATATTTCATAGGAATTGACTGCTAAATGTCCTGGATACAAATTGCTCTTGACGAGAATTATTAGTGGCTGCTTTTTCGCTATGACATTTTTGACTAATTCATTTTTAGAGAGTAAGTAATATAGTGATTTCTTCATCACAGGACATCTTGCAGAATAACAGTGATTTAAATACAGTGCATGATAGAGAACATAAAAAACTAATGGCAACAAAATTATTAAATTAGGAAAATATACTTTTAACATACCACCCGAAAAATATTAGATATATATAAATCATCCTGTTCCGACCTAAACATTATAAATGCTTCACAAACTAGAGATACCACACTTGATGAATGATATTTGCAACAAACTATTTCAGAAGTCAGTCCAAGGAATTAGTAGTTACCTTCAGAATCCAGAAAAGGGATGAGGAATCCGAGAATGAAATATATGAATTATATGATATTTACAAAAACGAAATAAAAAAATTATCTATTACAGCAATTTATCTTTAAAAAATATTTAACAATTTATGTTATTTGATGTAAAGTTGTTATGTTTATATATAAATTGTATGTCCAATAACTATGGTCCATGTGTCCAATTACTATATAAAATGTCCAATTACTATACTTTTTTTGCATGTTTTTATTAAACAAATATTCATATTTTTAAGTAAACGTAAATAAAGTTTAAACAAACAAACTATCCTTTTTATGTATTTAAAAGAAAATAACTAAAATCTTTAAAACAAAGGCATAAATATATTTTAAATAAATAATGTTCCTTAAGTGTCCAATATCTATATGGTTTACCCTACAAGAGATATAAACAATTCTTTCTTTTTCTTGAAAAATTGAATATTGCCCAAATTTAGTGCTTTCGTTTTATATAATATACAGGGAACAAATTTCTTTACAATTTGATGATTTTAGAATGGTGTGTTATTTAATTGTCTGGATGTTATTTTTATGTTCATTTACATATGTAGGTATGTGTTAATTTTTTTGTTTAGGAAATTGATTAATAAATCAACATTTTTAATAAAAATTCTTTTAACAATTTTCAACAAATAATTACTTTTATTACTGCAAGCTTTTTGTATACCTATACCATATATGGGTATACAAAAAGCTTTGTAAAAATAAGGTCCCTCTTGAAAATTACAATAAAATCTGGTTAATATTTGGATAAAATTAACAAATATTTTTTTACTGCGTATAAATTAACTAGGAATAAATGTCTTGAAATATTTAAAGAATTTTTACATTTTTTTAATTTACAAGAGCCGATTTTACAATATAGTATTTTTTGTTGAGCAGTGTTACAAAATGTAGGACGTAGATTAAAGTAGCAAGAAGTAAGTCCGCTGCCCAAGCTTAAACGCTCGAAACAGGTGAAAGTGTTAACCATATTTCGCCGATTAGATTCTATTAAATACGTCCCAAATCGTAATTCATTATCTGCACTCACAATAGCGAAATTACCGGGCTATTATATTGTAGTTGACATGGATATTAAGAGGTTACTATGGTGATTGGGTTGGTTGTCATGGTGAATGAGCGCCTTGCTTAGTTGGTTTCCTGTAGAAGAGATGAGATAGGTTAAAGTTTGTTGTCGATAACTATTAAAATTATTGGAATTTTACTTTTACTTTCGCAAAAACCTGTTTACATAAATAATTTTTTAAATGAATGTAAAAACAGTCCAAAAACATAAAAAAATTTAATTTTAAACACAAAATCAAAAATAACATTTTTTAAAATTCTGCTTAAAAAAAAACAAAGTAGAAATGCAATTAACTCAAAAAAATCGACATAAAATTCATAAACCAGAAATTGCACTATGTATGGACTAAGTGTCCACGATAGCTTAAATACAGGCCTAAATATTTTCAGCATATAAAATCTTCTTCATTCGAAAATTTTTGAAAATGATATTAAAGCAGCATTTTTACAGTTACATTTTTTAATATATATATTAACCTTGATTATAAAGATTTAAACTTATGCATCAAATGTTAAAAAGTTCTAGAAGCCTACTTTGATTTTTATAGGTTTGTTTATGTAAATTCTATGCATACGAATTATTTTTTATAATGTAGCTTAGTCTAATATTTGAACTTACATAACCTGAATAAAAAAGTAAAAATTCAAAAAATGTTATTCTTAATTTTGTGTTAAAAATCAATTTACCATTTGAGTTTTAATTTTTTGTCAGTTATGAAACACTCTGTATATTGAACATTAAGAAATATTGATTTAATAAAATTAAAAATCGTTGTAAAAATCTAATTAAAAATAGCAGTAAAATAGTTTATTATAGGTACATATGACAACAAATATCATTATCTCAGAAATAATTTTAATTAAATATTAAATAAAGTAACCAAATTGGGGTTGGGATTCCTTACTTTGGAATCTGTTTTACCGGCCGTCAAAATTGTCGTGTTTGTCAAATTTTTGTGTAAAAAACAAAGTTTATCCATGAAAATGGACTAACAACTGTTGAAATCCGATATGGAAGCAGTTTTTTTGTCAAACTGAAAACATAATATACTATTTTTGTCTAGAGATCATTAATTTTGCTATACATTCTAGTTAAACAAATAGTATATTATGTATCAAGTTTAATAAACGCTATTTTAGTCACGAATTTAATTCAGGCATTTAGGCCTAAGTGCCAAGAAAGTATTATAAACGAGTTGCATTCTATACTTTTTCTATCCTTTGATTTTTTTATTACTATAATTGCAAAATATTATCACACTACAACTGCAAAATCAAAAGGTCAGTACAAACGTTCATATATCTTTTCAAATATTGGCGTCAAGAAACCATTTAATACTTTTGTATTGAGATAATAAAATAATTTTCACATTTAGTATTATTTTACAAGTAAGGCACTTTATTTCAACGATTGTATGACATTTGACAACTGTCAACTAACTTAAAACCAAATTCAGCTCGTGACTAAAAACCTGTTGCTAACTTTAGCCCGTGACTAAAGCGCCATAAAGCCACAACTTGTCAATGTGTATTTAATAGGTCACTTAGTGTCATGGAAACATGTACGATGTACGAATGGTCGTTTTAAAGGTGGGAGTAGAAAAAGAAATTAAATTACTTATTTATATTTATTTTCAAGCGTACAGTAATTTTTATATTATAACATTCATTAGTCTATATAGAAAGACTTCATATTAATACTACCTAGTCAAATTATTATTTAAGTATATCTTGTTTAAGAGCGGTCTATTTGTCCTATGTGCGACCTATTTTGAAATTTAACTCAACTGTTTGGTATCCGTTTTACAATATTAATATTGATGCCTTGGAGCGGGTACAAAACAAATTTTTGAGATTTTGTGCATACGAGTATAAAATTAATATTCCATAAGAACATTATGATTATGTTATGTTAAATAATATTTTACATATTAAGTCATTGGAAACACGTAGAAAACATATTGATTTATTGTTTTTATACCGTTTGTATCTTTTGACACCTTAATATTTTTTAAAAATACAATTGTACATACATAAAATATTTATAAAAAAAATCTACTTACTGGGATATTACACTTCACGGTGGATATGTTTTTAAATAGCAAATTAATGAACTTAAATTTTTAAATTATAAAACAGCAACACTCTCATCTGCATATAAATTCTAACTGACCTTTAGGAATCACATGCATCTATAATGTCGTAAACAGAGGTTTTTGCTTATTTAAAATGATTAATGCGCCATCCGGTGCATAAAATTTAAAGCAAAAACAGATTCACGGATGATAGAATCAATTTTTGTAACACCTACATAAATGGTTATAAAAATTATTTCTTTTAATTTTTCATAATATTTTATATTTGATTCGATTGCTTTGGATGTGTTTAATTTACTTAGTGAAGTATTTTTATTATCCTTTTACTACCTCAGATATTTGAAAACATATAGTTTAACAGTCACCGGGGATAGGTTTTAGACTTTTAAAACATTGTAAAAAATAGGTTAGTACCGATTTTTTAAAATTAAAAATCGCATACGAATTAAGGGCTGAGGAAAACAATCACAAAGGTAGTCAAGTGCAACGAATCGCTAAGAGAAATTTCATATTGATATGAATTTTGTCTTAATTAATATTAATATCGACTGATAAGGCAAAATTAGAACACAACGTCCATATAAGGTTGAACGTTGGTCTCGCTGATTTAAAAGTGGTTTACCCATCGGGTTTAATCGTTATGAAGCGCCACGCTCCATACACACGTATTTTTTAGTTTAATATTAAAATCAATATTTTAATAAAACATAAATATTTAAAAAAATCTATGACAAATTATGATTACCTAGCAATTTAGTGGTTAAATACCGCTCAATAAAAGTCTGGTAAATAATTAACAAGCAAATCATTACATTATCAAAGCGCCAAACCATGCATAGTTAAAGAAGTACGATTGGCGTTAGAAGCACTCCGATTAAAAATGTTTTTAGTTCAGTTGAATAATACCCAGCAGATAATTTTTCACCCGGTCGGCCAATGAGACGCCTTACATCGGTTACGTAAAGCCAAGAGGAGCGTTAAACTCTGCGCAGGCCGCATTTCCTCGTTCGTGAATGTTGTCGTGCATGGACAAAATCCCAAAGAGCCGCAGTATCGAAAGTAAAAGCGAGTTATCCGTATCTCCCCAAGACGAAATGAGCGCAGTAGAAAGTGAAGTAATATTACCGCGGGCCAAGATTCAATCCCCCAATAATCACATCGTCTACGTGAACCAATCCGCCACCATAGATGTGGAGGAGTTGGAGGAGAAGAGCATGGAGAAAAACGTGGTCGAAGTCCTGGATAAAGCGCGGAAAACCTTTAACTCCAACGCAACGAAGGACTTGAGCTTCCGGGAGAAACAACTCAAAGGGCTTTTGAAGTTTCTGGAGGAGGAAAAGGAGGACGTCGTGAAGGCGGTCTACAAGGATATGGGAAAACATGCTCAAGAAGTCAACGTATGCGAGATTGAGTTGGTTGCTAACGATTTGAGGCACACCATCTACGATTTCAAGAAGTGGGCTAAACCTCAAAAGCAGGAGAAGAGGATTTTGAATCTTCTCGATGGGGTTTACATCTACAATGATCCTTATGGTGTTGTTCTTATTATTGGAGCTTGGAATTACCCTGTACTCTTGACCCTAGGACCCATGGTTGGTAAGGAATAACACTATAAACCTTAAACATATTTGGGGGCCAGTTTGAAATAATAAAAATTGCATTTTGTGTATAAATTAAATTTGACGTTTCGAAATTTGCCATTTTTTAAAATATTGCAATTATGAATTTTTAAGATCACAATCAGAACAGTTAAATTATTTAATATTGTATAATTTTAATCTTTCTTAATAACTAAAACCAATTTTACTTCAAAATTAATATAGAGATGTGTTAGAAAATGAAATATAATTAGCTATAATATTTACTACAATAGTATATTAGGGGACAGCCATTAATTACGTGAGGCATTTTTCTGATAATTAATTAATTAATTAATTAAAATTATTATATTTTTTTAACAAATTTGAATTATAATACATATTCTTTAAACTCAACAGTTGACTTGAGATTTAAAATGACCCTCCCCCTTCCCTTAAAATGAGATTTGGTGAGATTTTGCTAGACCTAGGGTTGGGAAAATTTCACTTTTTGCTTGTGCTTGAAATTTCACTTGAAATTTTCATGACATTTATGAAATTTATAAAAATTTCCTAAAATTCTGAAATTTCATGAAATCTATGAAATTTATTGAAACTTGTAATAAATTTCAATCACTTTAAGTGTAATATATTAATATTGAAATAAGCCCACTCGGGGACCATGGCAAATTGCCTCTCTTACCTCCTACCCCTCTGTGGGCCCCTGCACCAATAATATAAATAGTAAATACCTATGTTTACCACAAATTTCTTGAGATTTCCTTTTAAAATATTTTTAAAATTACTAAAACTAAAAGAGATATAGCACTTTTTGGTAAGCTAATGAGATTGTGCCACTTTCATTGTTTTATATTTATATATATTTATTATTTTTATATTTTACTGAAATTTTACGAAAATTTAAGAAACTTCATTAAAATTTTATGAGCCGAAGGCATTTTTTATCCGTTTTCCGATGCAATTATAGCAAAAGTAAAAGTTTAAATTAATCATGACTTTTAAAAAAAATTTAAAGTCTGATTAAATTTACAAATTAAATTGGTAACTAAATTAAATTATTTAAATAAATTTATGCATATAAGTAACAATAATTACTTATAGTGTATTCAAATCCCAGCCGAACTAAACAAAAACGCCCAGACGCGTCTAGACGCTTGATAACTCGTTCTTATTGGTCGATTCGGAATCTGTTGTAAATTATTATTAAAGGTCCCAGGGGAGGCCGCATGTGAAAATTATGCGAAATTTTCAGTAAATTGCGAAACTTTCAATGAAATTTCTGAAAGTTTCACAGGCAATGTTGAAATTTTCGAATTGAAAATTTCATTTGAAATTTTTAAAAATTTCACTTTTCCTACTAAATGAAATATTTCAAGTTTGAAACTTTCAAAGTTGAAATTTTCATTTAAAAATTTCAACTGTCCCAACCCTAGCTAGACCCCTCCCCCCATTTTTATATCTCACGTAATTAATGGATGTCCCCTTATGTATCAAGTTTTATAAACGGCATTTTAGTCACGAGCGATAGTTTAATTAAATTAGTGTCTAGAAAAGTTTATAAACCAGTTGCATACTATACTTTATCTATTTTGCGTTCATAATGACTTCATTATAAAACCGCTTTCGGTGCTGTAATGAGATACTTTATCCCACCCAAAATTTTGATTTCATAGTTTGGCTATACTTTAAACAAAATATTGGTTATAATATTTTTATGATATTTCTAGTACTTACGGGACTTTTCTGGCAATAAATTTTGTTTAACACCAAAGAAAATCAATTTTTTCTTCTCTAACATTAACAGCCGCTTATTGTAAATAAGTAAATTAAGGACGGCATGGCGATTTTGACATTAACTGTTAAACCAATGACTGTGATACCAACTATCTAAAGTAAAATTCGACCAAATTAAATTTAAGGTATATTTTTTTATAGAATTTTTGCAAAATAGATAAAATGGCATAAAGAACTCATGTCATAAGACCTTTTGTCGCACTGACATTAGTTCTTTAATATACTATTTTCTACGACAAATACTTATTTTTCTTACCTAAAAATGATTGAGACTACATCTATAAAACAATAGAGTAACCATTCTTGGGAATCTGTGCCGGTGAAAATGTCAAAATTGTATGTTTAAATCAAAATGTATCCCTTGAAAATGGACTAAAAACAATTTTTCACATTGAAAGTGAAAAACATGTTTTATGAGAACTCCACGGTGGAGTCTCCTCCCGAAATTAAGTTAAATCTAGTTTACTACCGGCGTTTTAAAGGAGGGAGTGGAAAAATAATTTTTTGCACAATTCTTTAAAAATATTTTTAGTAAATAAACAAAAAAAACCAAATTAATTAAATTCACTATTTCTTGTGTATCTTGTAAAACAATCCAGTGGCGGCTTGTGATCTATGATAAAGGAGAATCACAAATTTAAAAAGGCGGCAGGGATTTTTTTTGTGTCTTACACGACTATTATTACTTTTTTAATCTTTCAAAACAATAAAAAATGTCACATTAAACATTGAATTATGTATCTATTAAAGAAATAATTAAATGCTAATTTAAATTTTATCATTGTGTGCAGTGTTTTAACGTGAAGTCCATTCTTGTGTCCATATAAGGAAATATATTTGTAGCACACTTGTCAATAACAGCATCATTATTCAGTAATCCACCGTTAATGTACAATAGCGTTATTAAAATCGCGTTTCTTTATTCTATTTATTTTCATATTCGTCTATTGGCAACATCGCGCTGTAGTTAATTTTGGGGGAAAAACAAAAAACCCAAAAATGTTTTTGTTTATTGCATTTAAATGAAAGGTACATTTCAGGGAAATTTGGTACATTTTAAAAGTCGAATTTGTTACTTTATTTTTCCAACCACTGTCAACACTGTTTCCGTTTCATTAAAATAAATCCGAGGTACCTATATAGTTATTATATTTTCTAAAATAGTTAAAACAAACTTTTGCAATTTAGAATTTTTTTAAATGGTTTTTTTACATTTTATTTTTTTTTCAAACTTTCTTTTATTAATTCAACAAGCATAGTTTTGACCCTTTAGCCCTGTTTTCGAAAAGAAAACAAATTTAATTTAGCTGCAAAATTTTAGCATATTAACTGCCTCGCTTAGATCTGCAGCCTTCGGCTAAGACCTCGCGAGCGACACTGCCTGTTAAATAATGTACTATTTTTCTTACCCGTTTACAAGTTAACCTAAAAAAACATTAAGTTCATACGAAATCAAACTTTGAACCAATAAGATACTATAATGTGGGGATGAATTTTATTCAATCAGACGAAAAAATCAAGATTTATCTATAGATGTATATATATACATCTATAGATAAATCTTGATTTTTTCGTATATACATGCCTTTTCAATGGAATAAAATCAACGACGTTGTCAAAAAAACAAAAAAAAGTTTTTTTATATAAAAAATGCATTCAGAAACGTAATTTTAATGTTTTCGTAGATTTAAAAATAGTACCTTCTTTATGCTATTTTATCTATTTTGCAAAAATTCTATAAAAAAAATTAAATTTAATTTGGCGTCATTGGTTTGACAGTTAATGTCAAAATCGATTCGCCATGCCGTCCTTAATTTACTTATTTACAATAAGCGGCTGTTAATGTTAAAGAAGAAAAAAAGGATTTTCTTTGGTGTTAAACAAAATTTATTGCCAGAAAAGTCTCGTAAGTACTAGAAAAATCATAAAAATATTATAACCAATATGCAATATATATATATAAATATATATATATATGACCGTTTATATGTGTATATATATATATATATATATATATATATTATGGTGTTTAAAGTATAGCCAACCTATAAAATCAAAATTTTGGGTGGGATAAAGTATCTCATTACAGCAGAAAGCGGTGTTATAATAAAGTCATTATGAACGCAAAATAGATAAAAAGTATTATTATTACTTTGGAGACCAATGTTTGGACACTGGTTGCTAACCGTTGCTAATGAAATTTCCGTTAATACCTATAGGTGGGGTTACCATATTCTGTCAATGTCAATGTTTTGTGTAAATACACCTTAATTACAAAAATGACACTATCAACAATAATTAAGAAATATCAAATTAAGAAAATTATATTTAAAAGCATGGAGCTTCAACTCCATAGAAATATTGAGGAGTGGGGGTTCACGAGAACGTCGCACGGAATTTAAACATGCCTTTTTGTCAATAACCTTACTTCCGGTTGTCACTATTGTTGTCATTTTAACAGCGAAAGCAAACATGGACATGCCCAATCTGGCATCACTATATCAAAGCGAGGTCACGGGCGGTCACGTGACAATAAGGGTTTTACACTTCAAAAATTTTATTTTGTCACTTATAGCATTTTATATTAACACTTCTTTATATATTTTTATGGATTGTAGTTTAATAATTCAAAATGAATAAATATGTTTTTATAGGTTAAATTACATTTATTAATTTATTTGTTTATGTTATTGTTTCAATAAAGTCTTTTATAATTACTTAAAACATAATTACTAGTCTCTTACAGCAATCCTTAATTACCAATAAATAATTCAAACTTTTTAGAATAAAGTTCATTTTAAAAGAAGAAAATTATACGTAATATAAGAATATCGTTTTAATAAACTGTAATTATACCTTTATTAGAAATTGTAAAACTAATAATGGTGACGAGCACAATTATTATTTATGACTTCTGTAGATTGTCTATATAATATTAATCTAAATTATAGAGTAAAATTTAAAAAAATGATTGTAATTGTAACATAATCAATACGAATTTCCCTACTTATTAAAACATTAAATTCATTTGATTTTGGAGGATGACACTTTGTTTTTCTTTAAAGGTGCACTAGCAGCTGGCAATTGCATCATTTTGAAACCCTCAGAGTTAAGCACAGCAACCGCTGAATATCTCTTCAAAAATCTCCCAAAATACTTCGACCCAGGAGTTGTACAGGTATGCCTTGGAGGTGTGAACCAAACAACCTTACTGCTGAAGGAAAAATTCAACTACATCTTCTACACTGGTTCGACCACGGTGGGTAAAATCATCTACAAGGCGGCTGCGGAACATCTGACACCAACAACATTGGAATTGGGAGGCAAATCCCCTGTATATCTTGATGACGACATGGATATGGTGCTAGCAGCTAAAAGGATCCTTTGGGGAAGGTTTTTAAACGCTGGTCAGACTTGCGTATCCCCCGACTATGTCTTATGCACTAAACATACCCAAGAGATATTCATAGAAGCCTGCAAAATCGTATTGGAGGAATTTTACGGGAGCAATATGCTTACTTCTCCCAGTCTGAGCAAGATTATCAACGAGAGGCACTTCGACAGGCTTTTGGGTCTAATAAAACACGATAATATAGCTGTTGGGGGTCAATATGATAGAACTAAGCGTATTATGACCCCCACTATCTTAAGAGATTGCAAACCCAACGATCCAGTAATGCAAGATGAAATATTCGGACCCATACTACCGATATGTACGGTTAAAAATGTAGAGGAAGCCATAGAATTTATAAATTCAAGGGATAAACCTTTGGCGCTGTATATATTTTCAAAAAATAAAAAGGTGCATGATACTGTGTTAACTCAAACCTCCTCTGGGGGAGCTGCTGTCAATGACTCGGTCTCGCATTTGATCACAGAGGGTATACCTTTTGGTGGAGTAGGAGCAAGTGGAATGGGGGCTTATCATGGCAAACAAGGTTTCGATACCTTCACCCATAAAAAAGGAGTCCTAAAAAAGGATTTATCCAGTTTTTCCGAGCTAGGATTGAGCCTTAGATACCCCCCATATACAGATCAAAAAACAGCATTGATGACTTTTATATTAAAACGCAGAAAGGGTGTGGCTTTCTGCAAATTGGAGACTTTAATTACATTTTTACTAGGCATGGTTTTTGCTTTTATAGTCAACTATTTATTTATGTAATATATTTGTGTTATATCTTGTTTATCAGAGCTTTAAATATTTTTAGATTTGTTATATTTAGTAATTAAATACTTTATAGTTTATGTCTTTTATTTACATACTTTACCTAAACCCCACAAAGTACTTTGAACCAGAAGTAATTATGTCTTGAAGGTGTACACCAAACAACCTTACTATTAAAAGAAAAATTCGACTAAATCTCTACCCTGGTTTGACTATTGTTGGTAAAATCATACACAGGCAGATAAAATCGCCTGTATATCTCGATGACAACATGGATATGGGAGAAACATGGTTAGTTAGAGGAGGTTCTAAACGCTGACTATGTTTTATTCACCAAAGAAATTAGAAGTCGTCATGGAGAAATTCTATGGAGGTAATTCGTTTACTTCTCCAAGTCTGAACAAGATTATCAACGAAAGGCATTTCGACAGGCTTTTGGGTCTAATAATATACGATAATATAGCTGTTGGGGGTCCATATGATAGAACTAAGCGTATTATAACCCCCACTATCTTAAGAGATTGCAAACCCAACGATCCAGTAATGCAAGATGAAATATTCGGGCCCATACTACCGATATGTACGGTTAAAAATGTAGAGGAAGCCATCGACTTTATAAATTCAAGGGATAAAGCTTTGGCGCTGTATATATTTTCAAAAAATATAAAGGTGCATGATACTGTGCTAACTTAAACCTCCTCTGGGGGAGCTGCTGTCAATGACTCGGTCTCGCATCTGATCACAGAGGGTATACCTTTTGGCGGAGTAGGAGCAAGTGGAATGGGGGCTTATCACGGCAAACAAGGTTTCGATACTTTCACCCATAAAAAGGAGTCCTAAAAAAGGATTTATCCAGTTTTTCGGAGCTAGGATTGAGCCTTAGATACCCCCCATATACAGATCAAAAAACAGCATTGATAACTTTTATATTAAAACGCAGAAAGGGTGTGGCTTTCTGCAAATTGGAGACTTTAATTACATTTCTACTAGGCATGGTTTTTGCTTTTATAGGCAACTATTTATTTATGTAATATATTTGTGTTATATCTTGTTTATCAGAGCTTTAAATATTTTTAGATTTGTTATATTTAGTAATTAAATACTTTATAGTTTATGTCTTTTATTTACATACTTTACTTAAACCCCACAAAGTACTTTGAACCAGAAGTAATTATGTCTTGAAGGTGTAAACCAAACAACCTTACTATTAAAAGAAAAAATTCGTCTAAATCTCTACCCTGGTTTGACTATTGTGGGTAAAATCATACACAGGCAGATAAAATCACCTGGATATCTCGATGACATCATGGATATGGGAGAAACATGGTTAGTTAGAGAAGGTTTTAAACGCTGACTATGTTTTATTCACCAAAGAAATTAGAAGTCGTCATGGAGAAATTCTGTGGAGGTAATTCGTTTCTCCCAGTCTGAACAAGATTATCAACGAGAGGCATTTCCACAGTCTTTTGGGTCTAATAAAACACGATAATATAGCTGTTGGGGGTCAATATGATAGAACTAAGCGTATTATGACCCCCACTATCTTAAGAGATTGCAAACCCAACGATCCAGTAATGCAAGATGAAATATTCGGGCCCATACTACCGATATGTACGGTTAAAAATATAGAGGAAGCCATAGACTTTATAAATTCAAGGGATAAACCTTTGGCGCTGTATATATTTTCAAAAAATAAAAAGGTGCATGACACTGTGTTAACTCAAACCTCCTCCTGGGGAGCTGCTGTCAATGACTCGGTCTCGCATCTGATCACAGAGGGTATACCTTTTGGCGGAGTAGGAGCAAGTGGAATGGGGGCTTATCATGGCAAACAAGGTTTCGATACCTTCACCCATAAAAAAGGAGTCCTAAAAAAGGATTTATCCAGTTTTTCGGAGCTGGGATTGAGCCTTAGATACCCCCCATATACAGATCAAAAAACAGCATTGATGACTTTTATATTAAAACGCAGAAAGGGTGTGGCTTTCTGCAAATTGGAGACTTTAATTACATTTTTACTAGGCATGGTTTTTGCTTTTATAGTCAACTATTTATTTATGTAATATATTTGTGTTATATCTTGTTTATCAGAGCTTTAAATATTTTTAGATTTGTTATATTTAGTAATTAAATACTTTATAGTTTATGTCTTTTATTTACATACTTTACCTAAACCCCACAAAGTACTTTGAACCAGAAGTAATTATGTCTTGAAGGTGTACACCAAACAACCTTACTATTAAAAGAAAAATTCGACTAAATCTCTACCCTGGTTTGACTATTGTGGGTAAAATCATACACAGGCAGATAAAATCGCCTGTATATCTCGATGACAACATGGATATGGGAGAAACATGGTTAGTTAGAGGAGGTTCTAAACGCTGACTATGTTTTATTCACCAAAGAAATTAGAAGTCGTCATGGAGAAATTCTATGGAGGTAATTCGGTTACATCTCCCAGTCTGAACAAGATTATCAACGAGAGGCACTTCGACAGGCTTTTGGGTCTAATAAAACACGATAATATAGCGGTTGGAGGTCAATATGATAGAACTAAGCGTATTATGACCCCCACTCTCTTAAGAGATTGCAAACCTTACGATACAGTAATGCAAGATGAAATATTCGGGCCCATACTACCGATATGTACGGTTAAAAATGTAGAGGAAGCCATAGACTTTATAAATTCACGGGATAAACCTTTGGCGCTGTATATATTTTCAAAAAATAAAAAGGTGCACGATACTGTGTTAACTCAGACCTCCTCTGGGGGAGCTGCTGTCAATGACTCCGTCTCGCATCTGATCACAGAGGGTATACCTTTTGGCGGAGTAGGAGCAAGTGGAATGGGGGCTTATCACGGCAAACAAGGTTTCGATACCTTCACCCATAAAAAAGGAGTCCTAAAAAAGGATTTATCCAGTTTTTCGGAGCTGGGATTGAGCCTTAGATACCCCCCATATACAGATCAAAAAACAGCATTGATGACTTTTATATTAAAACGCAGAAAGGGTGTGGCTTTCTGCAAATTGGAGACTTTAATTACATTTCTACTAGGCATGGTTTTTGCTTTTATAGTCAACTATTTATTTATGTAATATATTTGTGTTATATCTTGTTTATCAGAGCTTTAAATACTTTTAGATTTGTTATATTTAGTAATTAAATACTTTATAGTTTATGTCTTTTATTTACATACTTTACCTAAACCCCACAAAGTACTTTGAACCAGAAGTAATTATGTCTTGAAGGTGTACACCAAACAACCTTACTATTAAAAGAAAAATTCGACTAAATCTCTACCCTGGTTTGACTATTGTGGGTAAAATCATACACAGGCAGATAAAATCGCCTGTATATCTCGATGACAACATGGATATGGGAGAAACATGGTTAGTTAGAGGAGGTTCTAAACGCTGACTATGTTTTATTCACCAAAGAAATTAGAAGTCGTCATGGAGAAATTCTATGGAGGTAATTCGGTTACATCTCCCAGTCTGAGCAAGATTATCAACGAGAGGCACTTCGACAGGCTTTTGGGTTTAATAAAACACGATAATATAGCGGTTGGGGGTCAATATGATAAAACTAAGCGTATTATGACCCCCACTATCTTAAGAGATTGCAAACCCAACGATCCAGTAATGCAAGATGAAATATTCGGCCAATACTACCGATATGTACGGTTAAAAATGTAGAGGAAGCCGTAGACTTTATAAATTCAAGGGATAAACCTTTGGCGCTGTATATATTTTCAAAAAATAAAAAGGTGCATGACACTGTGTTAACTCAAACCTCCTCTGGGGAAGCTGCTGTCAATGACTCGGTCTCGCATCTGATCACAGAGGGTATACCTTTTGGCGGAGTAGGAGCAAGTGGAATGGGGGCTTATCATGGCAAACAAGGTTTCGATACCTTCACCCATAAAAAGGGAGTCCTAAAAAAGGATTTATCCAGTTTTTCGGAGCTGGGATTGAGCCTTAGATACCCCCCATATACAGATCAAAAAACAGCATTGATGACTTTTATATTAAAACGCAGAAAGGGTGTGGCTTTCTGCAAATTGGAGACTTTAATTACATTTCTACTAGGCATGGTTTTTGCTTTTATAGTCAACTATTTATTTATGTAATATATTTGTGTTATATCTTGTTTATCAGAGCTTTAAATATGTTATATTTAGTAATTAACTCTTTATAGTTTATGTCTTTTATTTACATACTTTACTTAAACCCCACAAAGTACTTTGAACCAAAAGTAATTATGTCTTGAAGGTGTAAACCAAACAACCTTCCTAATAAAAGAAAAATTCGACTAAATCTCTACCCTGGTTTGACTATTGTGGGTAAAATTACACACAGGCAGATAAAATCACCTGTATATCTCGATGACAACATGGATATGGGAGAAGCATGGTTAGTTAGAGGAGGTTCTAAACGCTGACTATGTTTTATTCACCAAAGAAATTAGAAGTCGTCATGGAGAAATTCTATGGAGGTAATTCGGTTACTTCTCCCAGTCTAAGCAAGATTATCAACGAGAGGTATTTCGATAGGCTTTTGGGTCTAATCAAACACGATAATATAGCGGTTGGGGGTCAATATGATAGAACTAAGCGTATTATGACCCCCACTATCTTAAGAGATTGCAAACCCAACGATCCAGTAATGCAAGATGAAATATTCGGACCCATACTACCGATATGTACCGTTAAAAATGTAGAGGAAGCCATCGACTTTATAAAATCACGGGATAAACCTTTGGCGCTGTATATATTTTCAAAAAATAAAAAGGTGCATGATACTGTGTTAACTCAAACCTCCTCTGGGGGAGCTGCTGTCAATGACTCGGTCTCGCATCTGATCACAGAGGGTATACCTTTTGGCGGAGTAGGAGCAAGTGGAATGGGGGCTTATCATGGCAAACAAGGTTTCGATACCTTCACCCATAAAAAAGGAGTCCTAAAAAAGGATTTATCCAGTTTTTCGGAGCTAGGATTGAGCCTTAGATACCCCCCATATACAGATCAAAAAACAGCATTGATGACTTTTATATTAAAACGCAGAAAGGGTGTGGCTTTCTGCAAATTGGAGACTTTAATTACATTTCTACTAGGCATGGTTTTTGCTTTTATAGTCAACTATTTATTTATGTAAAATATTTGTGTTATATCTTCTTTATCAGAGCTTTAAATATTTTTAGATTTGTTATATTTAGTAATTAAATACTTTATAGTTTATGTCTTTTATTTACATACTTTACTTAAACCCCACAAAGTACTTTGAACCAGAAAACATTATGTCTTGAAGATATAAATCAAATAACCTTACTATTAAAAGAAAAATTCGACTAAATCTCTAACCTGGTTTGACTATTGTGGGTAAAATCATACACAGGCAAATAAAATCACCTGTATATCTCGATGACAACATGGATATGGGAGAAACATGGTTAGTTAGAGGAGGTTCCAAACGCTGACTATGTTTTATTCACCAAAGAAACTAGAAGTCGTCATGGAGAAATTCTGTGGAGGTAATTCGTTTCTCCCAGTCTGAACAAGATTATCAACGAGAAGCATTTCCACAGGCTTTTGGGTCTAATAAAACACGATAATATAGCTGTTGGGGGTCAATATGATAGAACTAAGCGTATTATGACCCCCACTTTCTTAAGAGATTGCAAACCCAACGATCCAGTAATGCAAGATGAAATATTCAGGCCCATACTACCGATATGTACGGTTAAAAATGTAGAGGAAGCCATAGACTTTATAAATTCACGGGATAAACCTTTGGCGCTGTATATATTTTCAAAAAATAAAAAGGTGCATGATACTGTGTATCTTATCTGATTTGAGGGTATATCTTTTGGCGGAGTAGGAGCAAGTAGAATGGGGCAAACAAGGTTTCGATACCTTCACCCATAAAAAGGAGTTCTAAATAAATAATTTGCTGTTTTCTAAGTGTTTTATTTTTATGTATAATAGTGTATAAAATCACAACCATATAACTAATCTAGTATCACACCGTATTACTACAAATTATTATTAAAGTATTTTACCAAAAAGTACCCACCAATAGTGCATATAACCCCCAGCAAAAATACCAAAACATAAACAAGGAAACACATTGGAATACCGCTCCTATACCTGGTAGCTTGTAGAATCATGTTTGTCTTAGTCTTGGTGAAGGGTGGGTATCTCAAACTCTGCAATTTTTCCGGTAAGGCATGGAAGTTTCGTAGCATTACTCCTTTTTTGTGTACAAATGTGTCGAAGGAGTATTTTCCATGGTACATGCCCATTCCTGAAGCACCAACGCCTCCGAATGGTAGGGAGTGAGGGGTTATATGCATCAAGCAGTCGTTAATGCATACTCCTAAAAAATATGAGTTTGTTATAAATGCTCTTAGGAGTTTTAAATATGTTTACCCCCACTGGATGTTTTTTCCAAAAACAACTCCGTTATTTTCCTGGTTTTGCTAAAAACATACAGCGCCAATGGTTTCTCGCGACTATTTATAAAACTGATAGCCTCATCGACGTTATTTACATTTACAATGGGTAAAATAGGGCCGAATATTTCCTCCTTCATAACATCATCATTTATACTGACATCGGTTAATATTGTGGGCTCTATAAATAAATCCTTTTCATCTATAGCACCACCAATGGCAACCTTTTGATTCTGCAACAGATTGACAAGCCTTCGAAAATGTCTCTTAGATATAATTCTTCCATAGTCCTGAGATTCTCTGGCACCATTAGGGAGCATTTCTTTTAAAACTTGCTCACAAGCTTTAATTATTTTTTCCTGTGTTGTTTTTGAGCAAAGAATATAATCGGGCGCCACGCAGGTTTGGCCAACGTTGGTTAATTTCGCCCATAGTATACGCTTAGCTGTTATAAATATGTCCACGTTGTCGTCAATGTAGACAGGCGATTTACCTATAATTATAATTAGGAGTAATTAATATAATTGCTGTACATATTAGTAATTAAAGTTGGTAAATAAGTGATTAATAGTCAATAAAAACATGTACCTCCTAACTCTAATGTAACTGGGGTCAGATACCTATTCGCCGCCTTATAAACTATTTTTCCTGTATTCGTAGACCCAGTGAAGAAAATGTAATCGAACTTTTCCTCTAGCAATTCACTGGTTTCGGCTACACCCCCAACATATACAGGGTAACATTCCTTATCCAAATATTTATTGAGATACGTGTCCAAAAGAAGGGATACCTCAGGAGCCAGTTCTGAGGGCTTCAATATAACAGCATTACCAGCTGCAATGGCACCTAAAATTAAAAAAAAAGTATATTATTCGCATTTTCTTACATGCACCTTTTAGATTTCCTGGCTGATATAATTAGATATATCCTCATTTTAAGTACTCCAAAAATGTTTTAGAGAATGTCTGGTTTTAACATATAAATTAATTTTTTGCATTTATTTGTTTATTTAAAATAAAAAATAGAACAAAAATTGGCCCACATAAATTAATGATTTATTCAAATACAAACAATTAAAACGTTTTAAACAAAATATTTTATAATCTTGATTTTTCGAGTAAAACTTAACCTGATTGTTAATCAAGTCTAGAAGGTCGAATTTGGTTTTATATTTGTTCTCGTTAAATCAAAGCTGTAATTTTTATTTTTTTAAACTACAGCAAGGGAAAATAAAAAGAGACAGCGGGAAGAAAACGAAAAAAAGATTTTGGCTACATTAACTACAAACAACTTTGTTTTTGCTTACTGATTATTTTTGGTACATTATTTTTAATATGAATTTAACAGTTTAAGTTGTTTACTATATTTTAGTGCATTTTTGGGGTTTGAGATCATCCTCTAACCAATTAATGGTTATTGAAATGATAAAAAAATAACATAATCTTAATTTATTTTTAAACAAAACTAGTTTATATTTTCATTGTCAAGGGCAACATTTTTGGTTAAATACACTGAAATATACTTAAATACGAGGTGTTTTCAGAAAATAACGGGAATTGTTAAATTTCGCGGGTTCGGAGGGTCCGGTTGTCATAAAATTTTCTTTATTATGTTGGTATACATGCCCCCGAAGTATGATAAAAACTTTAGCTGTTTTCATTGTTTACTTTGTCTGTGGCAGCCGCTAAGGTTAGACGTGTTTTATGAGCTCGGCGATTTTTTGTTCGTTAAAAGAAATGGATCAAAGAATTTGTATCCAATTATGCTTAAAAAATAAAATAAATTCTGTGAAATGTTAACAAAGGCCTATAGTGAGTCTGCTATAAGTAAAACAAGAGTTTACAGGTGGTATAAGAGTTTCCAAGATGGCCGTGAAGACGTTGAAGATGACGAACGCCCTGAACGCACAAGCGCATTAACAACCGATAAAAACATGTAAAAAGTGGAAGAAATGGTTATAAACCATCAGAGAAGTCGCTGATGATGTTGGTATATCGATTGGCTCATCCGATAAAATTTTTTCGAATGTTTTGGGTATGAAACGCGCGGCAGAAAAATTTGTTCTAAAATTGTTAAATTTTAAACAAAATTTTTGGCCAAAAACAATACTGTAAGGATGCCCCAGCCTCCATATTCGCCAGACATGCCTCTGACTGACTTTTTCCTATTCCCAAAAATAAAGAGAACCTTAAAGGGCCGTCGTTTTGCAAGCATAGATGACATTAAAAGCGCATCGCTGAAAGAGCTATCTTACAGATCGAGTTTTAAAAGTGTTTCGAGTATTGGAAGAAGAGCTTGCACATGTGCATAATATCCAATGGGGACTATTTTGAAGGCGACAACATTAATGTAGACGAATAAATAAATATTTGTTTCAAAAAATGAAAATTTCAGATATTTTCTGAACACACCTCGTATAAATTAATATAAAATTTAAAAGTTGTCCGAATTTGTTATAAAAATATTTTTGCAATTTTTAACATAACATAAAAAATATTAGTCTTAATCCAAAATTTTTCCACTTGGTCAAATGAGGTTCATTAAGTGGCATGTCCCAAAAAATATAAAAAAATCGTTCAACTGGTTTTAATATATTGAGGTGTTACAGTCTTAAATAGTATACTATACTTAAATAGGTATACCTACTATAAATTTAAAATGTTAAAAAAAACAAGAGAATGAAGAATGCATATAACATTTCATAATTTTTATCTAAATTATTCATGTTTTCACAGGCATTGTTTTTTAATGCGTCTTACAAAATGAATGCAAATTTATAAATAGAAAAAAGTAAAATGTTGGATTTTTACATTTAAAATATCCTTGAACATAGGAACTAAAAATAATGTGTTTACATCCATTTGGACTTTTGTATTATCGCTCTATGTAATTAATTAAAATAAACATCAAGGAGATCGACATCACAAAAATATTAAATGAAAATAAAGAAAAAAATCAGGTTTTTTATTTAATTACCTAAATGTCAATTTAATATATTTATGTACGTAAAAGGTTGAAAATTATAATTATTTATATTGATGTTAAATAAAATAAGTCATTTTCATTTCTGAGCTTTAACCTGTGGGCGAAATTTTACTTCTCCCACTAGTTGGCAAAATAGCATTTCGCCCACAGTCTGAAGTTAGCTTTAAGTTAAATTTGGAAAAAAGTGAGGTTAAAACTGTCAAATGTCAGATAAAATATCAAATAAAATTGGCTTTAAATTCATTGTGGTTGTTGAATAAAATACAGGGTTTCACATTCGTGGTCCATTAAAAGTCCCTGGGGAACGGAAAAGATATTGATTTGAAATTTTAAAAGCGTTTATTGATTGATGTAACTATTCCTATACTTAAAGTTAATAATTTAGGAGATATTTAACAATTTCAATATTATTTCTTATCAAGAATCATGTGACGGGTAAATTAATCTATAATCTGTCATTGTTCAAAATTTAATGGCGTAAATTTTTAAAACTGTAACAATTTAATAAACCAACAATATTTTAGTCAATACGCTAAAAAGTATCGCTAGTAGCGTATCATCGTAATAAAAGTACAATCAGCTGTCAGACGCTTATGTTACAAACGAGTGTTTCTGAGAATAAAGCCGGAAAATGTTAAAAAATATCGAAAAAAGACCGTGGCTCGATTTGTTGTGTTATTGGGTGTATTTCAAGAGGAAATCCTGGGTTGAGTTTTTATCGGTTTTACAATAAACAGTGTTAATCCGAATGAAGAAATAAATTGCATACAGTCTCTGTTAATATAAATTGTACCTATTAGATACAATAAATACACATTTTAGTACTAATTAATGTAAAAAGTGTAAACATTTCAATTCAGTAAAAATCGTCAAACAAATAAGTCGTCTAAATTTAAACAGCATTTAGCATTATTAAAAGCGTTGATTAAGAAAGTCTCCACCCAACGGTAAAATACCATTATATTATGTATTATATATAATATTATGTTGCCATGAATTCGTAAGTATATTTTGTTGTTTAAAATGCAGTTGTCGGCGTTTTTTAGAGAACTCAAATATAAAAATGGTTGATTTTAAGGTTATGTTTGTGCAAAAATTATTTTTTACTAATATCTTAAAATGTCCAAACTTAAATATAAATTATATTAGCTAAAGTTATCATTAGTAAATTCTGCACCAACAAATGTACTTACCGAATTGGATCCTTTGGCAAAACATGAAAATGCAACGATTTAGTTTTTGAATTTTATTTACAATTAAAAACACGATAATTCACCATGATCCCTTAGATAAAATACACACACTAACGTAACTATATAAGCATTTAAGCGTTGAGTTTCTTAATCAATGATATAAGGAATAATTAATCGAAATCGAGTACCAAAAAAGTTTTTTAATTTTTTCCTTGCAACGTAAAACACAAATAACGTGCGCGATTTAGCTGTGCAATTGAACAAAATTTTTCGAGTAAGACTTCTGCCTTCCTCTCTTTTGTGAAGAAAATACCTATTTATTTATAAATGATGTATAATCTGTGCTTTAAATGTATTGTTGACAATTCTTAAATTCACGCAATGCTATCGAAGTCCACCAGATGGCGCGCGCGTTGCGAAAACCCGATACTTCTTTACCGTATAAGAGTAACGTCTAATGTGGAAGTAGGATTTAAGAAATGCTTGAATGAAAATGGAGGACATTTTAAACATTTAGTAATAAATTAGTAATAAAAATTGTAAATTACGAATTTGTTTTGTTATTAAAATATTTCATAAAATAATGTTATATTTTATTGTCGACAATGAGCTATAGCTATAGCTATAGTGCTTCATCTAGTTGACATCCTTCAGCTTTGTTGAGTTTTTTCAAAATTAGCAAATAATTGGCTTGTCACCGACTGCTGTTTTTAATCATTAATATTGTTTACAAAATACTTAATTAGTCAACAAATTTTTTTATTAAAAACTGAAAAATTAACGCCATTAAATTTTGAACAAGATTGGACAGACTAGATTACGTGGTAACCATAGATACCGTCAACTCACCCGTCACAGGTTTCTTGATACAAAATAATATTAAAAATTTTAAATATCTCTGAAATTATTAACTTTAAGTATAGGGAATAGTAACATCTATCGATTGGTTTTTTTAATTTACTATTTGATTATGTAAAAATATACCGGGTGTTACATTTAAAATAAAATGTTATTAGCCTAATTTGCCCTGGATTTTCTTAGGTAATTTGTTAAACAATGTTAAGGAATTGACAAAAAAGTTATAGGCTATAGTTATAGGTAATTTTAATGATAATTATTATGTGAAATAAGGTAGATCTGACAGGTGCTAAAAAAATGTACCCGATATTTGTTGACAATAATAAAGTTTAAATTATGGAATGCCTAAAGATAAAAGTAATTTATTAATGAAAACAGGAAAAAATGCAACCTTTAAAAAGTTGTTTTGATTGAAAGGCATTTAATAAATATGTGCGGTTTTGGTTTTATAATTAGCATATTTATATTTCCAAATAAAAATTCCGCTAATTCCTAAATATAGCGGTTGAATAATCCGGAAGAAAAAAAAATAACATTGAATTTTATATTTTGTAATCATATTTAAGTATCTTACTGTATAATTTAATTCATTTAACCTTTATACCTTATGCGTAGAGATAAACCTGTACCGATTAATTGTTAATGAAAAAAAATTATTTCAATGACCTAAAAATCTGGTATACTTGTATTTATTTACCTGCTAAAGGTCCTAGACATAGACTCAAAGGGTAATTCCAAGCCCCGATCACAAGAACAACACCGTAGGGGTCCTTGTGGATGTACAGGTCGTCAAAAAAGTACGCCAGATCCTTTTCGGCTTTCTCCGGCTTGGAAAATTCGTCGAGGTTCGCCAAAAGGTGCCTTACACCATTCGCTGCGAACTCAATTTCGGTCACCAAGGATTCATGCCTGCTCTTCCTCAAGTCCTTGTACATGGCCGTGCATATATCGTCCTCGTAATCCTTGAGGAACTTCAACAGGTTGTTGAGTTGCTTTTTCCTGAAAGTGAGGGACTTCGTGACGCCCGTCTCGAAGGACCTTCTCGTTTTGTAAACCAAATTTTTCGCCGTGGATTTCGCCGGTGGCGAGTCTATATCCACCACGGACATGTTGTCGACTCCCCTCGTGGATAGTTTCACGCGCGGCAGGATCAAATCGTTGTCCAGGTTCTCCATGGTTTCAGGACTTTTTTCATGAGCGCGCGATTTCAAACTGAACTGGCCTGCATTCGTTTTATCTGGTCGGCCTTGCTATTCAATTTTGACCGGTTACAACGCCGAGGTGTTTGTTTTAAAGCTGTCGAAGAAAAATATATTATGTATAATGTACTATATAATTTATTTGAGTTAAAATGTACGACCCGACACGTGCGGGATTTCGATCGAGACTAAGTTTTACTTTACCGTGTCATTACAAGCAAAATTGACGTTTAAATATTAAGTGTCGTGATAAGGAAATAAGTAATTTCGGTTGCGTTGCAGTAAACTGATCCAATAAGATTGTAATTCGTTTGTTTATTTACTTATTGTGTCAGGTCATGTCAAATTTGAATTTTACACAGTTAAAAATTTTTGTTAAATTATTAAATGTAAAAATTTACATAAACTTCCTAGCTTTTATAACATAAATGTCATTTATTAAAAAATTATGTTAATTTCAATATAATGCATTAGTTTAAATAACTCCTAAACAAGTGTTAATCTAACTCAAAAATATTTATTAAATATTTGACTACAGAAAATTTTTAATCATATATTATATCACTAGAACTATGAATTTAATCGGTTAAACTAGGCTCAGTAGTTTTTTGTTTGGTTTTTCTTGGAAAATCGCGACCTGAGAATTAGTTTGTTCTATCTCCCAAAATTTAAAGAGGAACAAATAGCAGTTTAAAGTTTAATTTATATACAAATGAAATTTTACAAAGCTGTTTTTCCGTATTTAGATTTTGGGAGATTCTATCTTTCAAAAATCTGACACGGAAAAACAGCTTTTTAAAATTTCATTTGTATATAAATTAAACTTTAAACTGCTATTTGTTCCTCTTTAAATTTTGGGAGATAGAACAATCTAATTCTCAGGCAGAGCTGCAAGCTCTCAGAAAACTTAAATCGTTTTTTTGATTTAAATCGTTTTAAAGACTTAAGTCATTTGGTAATAAGTCATTTCTCTAAAACTGACTTAAGACTTAAAATTTAAGTATTTTTCAAAATGATTTGTGACTTAAATATTTTTTTCAAAATAGAAAAAACTTAAGTCAGTACATATGATTTAAGTCATATAGAAACGATTTAAGTCAAAAAAAGATTTAAGTCTTTTTGAAAATATTTTATTTTGTTTGTAAGTGTTTTCAAAATAAATCGTTTTAAATTCTTAACATAGTGGTTTATTATCATCTGTATCTACAATAGATTAATAATATCAGTATCATTAATACCATAAAATATTTTGATTTAAATCACTATTTTTGATTCAAGTCATTTTATTAACTTAAGTCTTAGATCACGATTTAAATAAAACATATAGACTTAAGTCATAAAAACGACTTACTAAAGGAATTAAATCATAAGATGACTTAAATCACTTTATAATGATTTAAGATTTTGCGAAAATGACTTGACTTGAAAGAAAATTAAGACTTAATACTTAAATCATTTGAACTTTATCTTAGAATTGACTTAAGATTTAAATCATTTTGATTTTAGAATTGACTTAAGACTTAAGATTTAAGTCTTTTTAAAACTGACTTGTTGCAGCTCTGTTCTCAGGTCGCGAAATGTCGAATGCAAAATAATTTAATAAAATCACGAGACCGCGTAGCGGTCGAGGGGTTTTATTTTTAATTATTTTGCATGAAACTATTTTCCAAAAAGAAAAATCAAATAAAAAACTTACTGAGCATAGTTTGACAGATTAAATTTATAGGTTGAGTGATATACGTCTAGATTATTTCTCGAATTAAAGGAAACTATTTGACAATTCATAAAATCTGACGTATGTGTCAAAATTTATAAATATTTTTTTAAAGAAAATTCCATTAATTTAAGGTATGTAATAAGTAATAATTGATATTTCGTAAACTAGATAACTTATATTTTATTGTTTTTTTAAAAATGTTTGTTAAAACTTGTAAATAACACCATAAAATCGTAAACAAAAATCCAATATGGAGGCTAAAATTTAATCGTAAGTAATATCATAAGGGCATTTAATTTTTCCGAAAAGAATCGAAAAAACACGTTGCTAAGTAATATTTTAACAAAAAGCATGAGTGCTGGTGGCAACAAAAATCCGAGTCGAAGAGGAGGATTTTTGCACCTGCACGAATGCATTTTGTTAAAAAATATTACTTAGCATTGTGTTTTTTCGATTTTTTTCACAGGAAAAATTAGTTGCCCGAATGGTATTTGACAAGACTATTTCATGAGTAACAGTTAACAATTAAAATATAAATTGCAATTTTTGGTGACAACAGCTGTCAAGTTTTGCCGCGGGTAAACTCGAATAAACTGCTGACAGGTGCTGTCACACAGTTTTTTCACCTAGAAACCATTTGTAATTCAAAATTGCGCGTTTGTGATTGGTGGAAATTAAGACGAGGGAAATAGTCGCTGTTAAATAGTTCTAGTGATTTAATCGCTTATTTAAACGAAATTTATTCGAAAATTCAAGGCTTTTGATTGGTTCATATTATAATGAGGGAAATAATCAAATTAAAACAATTGAGTATTTTTTTATTTAATTTAACTTAATATTAATGTTTTTTTTTCTAATTCGCTTATTTTCGCATTCTTTCGATTAAAATCGGTACCCTGCAAGGTCCTTTGTCTTCTAACCGCGTTTAGTCGGTTGATGATAGTTAATTCGATTAGAGGTTCCTAATTGTAAGGTTAAGTATGCTTTTATTTAGCGTGTGTTTAACAAAATTTAAAGGTAAGTTTGCTATGATAATGTTTTTTTTTACTTGCATAACGTTTGTATCCCCAGAAATGTTTGAAGACCGGCATGGATTTTTATTTTATTTTGGAATACAAAAAAAGGACTGGACTGTGCAATTTTAATAAATTCCAATGCTTCATTGCTGGCCTTTTTTTGAAATTATGTTGTAGTATAATAAATCATTATTATTACATACTTACATGTTGTATTTTTTACCCAAAAACCAATATTTTTATATTTATTGAAATATTTTTTTAAAATAATTAAAAATAAACAATTAATAATGTAAAAATTAATTAATAGTTATTTATGTCATTAGGTTAAGAAGTAAGGCTTTTTGTGCTAAGCTCAAAGTTTGAAGGCCGACGCGTAGCGGAGGCCTACAATAGAGCGAAGCACAAAAAGACACTTCTTGGCCGAATGGCATACAACATTTTATCTTCAAAGCACTTTATATAGGTCAATTTAATTCAACATGAAAGCGCCCTAACCTCACTTTTTTTAATCTCATTTATTTATTAGCTAAAGATTACATTAAATGTACAATAATTATTATTCCTTTTAGAAGCAGTAATAGTTTGACAATACCTAACTACATGATTTAAGTAGAAATGGATTTTTGTAAGAAAATGGTTTACTTACCCTCTTGCTATTACATTGAATTCAATTAATTGTTTAATAAATAGGTATCTAATTTCAATTTGTTTGCATTTTTATTAAAAAAATAGGTAGTTTGGAATGTTTACGCTGTGTTTAACATTTAATTTTACTGAAAACTTAAAGCAAATTAAAATTTAAAGATATTTAAATCGTAGAAAAAGAAAACACAACTGTGAAACGTCAAATTGCAATGTCCTAACCTCTCTTTTTGTTTTACTATTCATATTTAATTTTACAATAATTTAATGAAAAATATTAAACATTAAAATGTTATAACAGTAAAACAAACAAATTAGTGCTTATTATAAATAAATTAAACCAGTTTAGTACGTTAATTTCTTAGAAAAGGATTAATTTGTCAAAACAATACCCCTAGCGAGAAAAAATCGAACTAATTACTTGCCTCATAAAAATTTTTATCGGCCTAGGCCATAACAAGGTATTTCTTTATCGAATGTTGACAACAATAAAGTTTAAATTATAGACCGCGTGGAGATAAAAAATATTGTTAAAATAGCAAATTAAAATAATTAAATGACGACATACTATTTGTGTAAAATCAATAGAAAGTTATATGTTAAAGTAACACTTTTTTCTGTAAAATAAATAAAATATAAATAAATTTAACAAATTTGATTCTGTTAAAGTTGTACCGATTTTAAATATTAAAAATTAACACAAGTAATAAAAATCAAAAACTAAAAAAATTGAGTGGACTTTCTGGGACACAAGAAATATGTTAATTATACATATAATTTTTTTACTGTGAAGTTTAAAAATTTTGTTTCTGAAAATTTTTAAATAGCGTTAATTTTTACATTAAAACATTTACGTTATTTAGGGTGCGTTTCACGAAATGTTACAAGAATACATTACAAGTGAATATTACATGTCCTAGTTTATTTTATACTCACCTAAAATTTATTTTAAAACTTTAAACCCCTGTCAAAATTAAGTTTTTCATAATGTTATATTTTATATAATTTAATAGTTTACTATGTATCAAGTTTTATAAACGCCATTTTAATTACGAGTTTATTAGAATAATAATTATTCAATAATTATTTATTAAAAATGATCTTGGGCCAATTTAAAGCATTTTTTGATATTGTGTGTTTTGAAGCATTTTTTAAAATTATTTTGGATTCCTTTATAGCACATTTTTTTTAAATAGTGGAATCCGAACTGCTTTTCATGGTTAATTGTCCCTTTTCATTCGTTCCATACACATTTAAAGCATATTTATCTATATAGTATATTATGATTTTAATTTAGGCACGAGCGAGATTGCGAGCGAGTGCTCGATTAAATGAGTGTCTAGAGAAGTTTATAAACGAGTTGTATACTATACTTTTTCTACGACAAATACTTTTATTATCTAAAAAATGATTTAAATTAAATATTTGTATGCCACTTTTGTAAGGTTTTATTGCAACGTTGGGTCTTAATTAGAAATATTTCAGAAACATTTTATATACTACGTTACAAAGACTCCCATTGTGGAAAGCAG